TTATGCATCATGTTCTACTTTATCTGCTCCCAAGAATTTGGCAGAGAGCGAATCACAACTTGTACTTGCTGCTCTTGAGTCAAATTATGCCCAGTAGCCGCAAGCTCACGTATCATGGCTGACATGACCCCCAAATGTTGCTTCATCGAGTAATGCACCCTTTTCTGATAGGAGTCAAACTTCATAGTCAACCCACGTAGCTTTGCCAAAGAGGTAATATCAAACTTTTGCTTGAGAGCTTCCCACATCTCAAATGCAGTCGGGCAGTGCTCAAACTCACTAATCAAGTCGTTGTGCATGCTACTCAACATGGTAAAGCGCGCACACCGATCTTTGTTATGCCAAGTCTGAAAGACTTCAAGATCACAACGATGTTGAGCTGTATTGCCCTGCTCAGGCTCAACCATCACTTGTTCAAGTGTGGTCAACACTTCTTGCTCATTGAGAATGTATTGGATCTTACAGCGCCATATGTCATAATTGTCACCATCCAATTTCTCTCCCTTAGTTAAGTTTGCCACCACTATCTTAGCAGCCATTTCTACATACAGAGTAAACCAATACGCAGAGGATATTAATGATAGCAACACAAAAATTATTTTGCAGCAAAAAAAAAAAAATCTAAATTAAATAATGATAATATTACACATGTCTCAAGATCAAAAATTTGCTATGCTCATAATCATCTTTTGCGCCTCTAGTGACAATTATCAGAATTTAATTTAATTCCATGCGCAAAAAATAACCTCCCACTACTTATGGCATGTACAAAGTATGATAAATTCCATACAATAGCATCTTAATGTAAATCAACACATGCTATATTCATTCATTAATGGAATTTAAAGAATAAAAAAAATATGCTTCTCTAATCACAACATATTACAAACTCTAAAAACAAATAATATGCTGTGTTTAATATTCAGATTATGCCATAATAGAAAGTACATCATTCTGAAATTTTTTTGGAATTTTTCCGAATTTTTCTAAAATTTTAAATAATTAATAAACACACATAAAATCAAAAATAAATATTACAGAATCTGGTAAACTGCAACAATTATACCAGTAAATAGTAAACCATTACAGTAGTATAATAAAAAAATTCAGCCCCAGAAATTTAGTCATGCAACACCAAAAGCATTTTAAAGTAAAAATAATGAATTATTATCTCAGGAAAAATATTTTTTATTTTCATAAAATTTTGAAAATTTTACAAAAGATAAAAAATTTAATTCTAAAACCAGCAGTACCAACCATATTCAAAACAAAGCTATAACGAATTATTTATGACCATTTAACGCGATTCAGAATTTAAAAAAAAAAAAACAAACAACACCTTAGCACTCAGCATCCAAGCTAGCCAAGCCGGCGCGGAAAACGGCGTGGCTCGGCTAGGCGCACGGCACGCACATGTGTAGCCTGAACGGCGCGTGTGTGGAGTTCGCGGACGGGGCGCGCGTGCGGGCTGTGGCTGATGCGTGGCAGCGCTGACGTCGTCAGATGACGCGTGCAGATCACGCGCCACCTTCCAGGGTATTTTCTGGTCCAATTTTGGTACTTCCGGTCTCCATTTTCCAAATTAAAAACATTTGTGGTCTCAAAAATGACATTTAATGAACATAAAAGATGAGGTGTATTACACACTCTCTCTAATGAGAGTGGAAGTGCAGAAATCCTACACTTCATCTTCCTCCTTAAGCCATCAAAAATTCAAAACGAACCCAAATTAGGGTTTGATATATCTCATTAATCGTAAATCCAAATCTAACAAATAATATATGGTTTCGAAGGTCTCAAAATAAAGATTCTAAATATGTAAGATTTGCAGACTGAAATTAAAGCATGTAAAACCATCATGCATGTAAAGTTCCAAAAATATAAAATGGGTCTCCATTTTTCTTGAAATCTAACCGTTGGATTTTCATGAAACTTTGCAGATATGTTCTACATTAAATATACTACAACATATATAAATTTCAGGTCGATCGGAGATAGTTCAAAAAATTATTAATTTTCATGCATATATCGTGTATATATTTATATAAAATTATACACATATAATATATGGTTTCGAAGGTCTCGAAATAAGGATTCTAAACATGTAAGATTTGCAGACTGAAATTAAAGCATGTAAAACCATCATGCACGTAAAGTTTCAAATATATAAAATGGGTCTCCATTTTTCTTGAAATCTAACCGTTGGATTTTCATAAAACTTTGTAGATATGTTCTACATTAAATATACTACAACATATATAAATTTCAGATCGATCGGAGATAGTTCCAAAAATTATTAATTTTCATATATATATCGTGTATATATTTATATAAAATTATACACCTATTTTAATGCATAAAAATAAGTACAAAAATACCCATTAATGCTCTGATACCAATGTAAATCAAGTATAATGCAGCAAGTAAAAATTTCAGATCATATAACAGATGATTTTTCCCATACCGACTCTCTCTCATTAAAATAACGATCAAGCTTTTTGCATTATGACTTGTGTGGGTGATACTCATATTGTGGTATCACTCCACTGCTGGGAGTTCGTTGTTTGCATTTTTTGAAACACGTGATTTACCTACAAAATTCTTCGCTTTAAGTTCTATCACATAAAGTATGATCTGAAATTTTTACTCGCTCCTTTATACTTGATTTACAGTTTGGATTTGTCGGGGTTAAAGAACGTCAAACTAAATCCTTCAATTTTATTCATTAAAAAACTGAAACGATCATGTTCTACCGTTCTATTTTAGTAGTTTTCAATTTTGTAAAAAGTAATAGAATCTCACATTAAAAAAAAATGAAAGAACCTAGAGATGCTCTATAAAAGTCTCTCATCTTATGAATTAAAGAAGACACGTTAGAAAACTTACAAAAGATATATTAGTATTTTTGCATCACAATTTTTTTTTAAAAAAAAGCTTAAATTAAACAAAATGCAATTTTATTTTATTTTATTTTTTTTGAACAAGTAACAAAAAAGCTCAAAAAACAAAATGCAATTAAAAAAAAAGATTTTGTTAATCATTTGAGAAATAAAAAGGTCACAATTTAAAATTTTGCCTTAGCCTCCCAAAAAGGTTGGGTCGCCCCTGCATTCACCATTTGCGTACCTACGATAGCCTTCCCTTACCATTTCCCCACTTTCAACAACTCTCTCTCAACCCCTCAAAACCCTTTCCCCTACTTCCAACAACCCTCTGCCACCCCCTCCACCTTTTCAAAACCACCACAACCCTTGCCTCACCCTAGACCCTCCTCTTTCTACAAACCAGTCTAGTCCATTTCTCTACCCCTACACAAACTATGACCACCTTCTTCTTTTTCTTCTCCTCCTCCAAACCATAGATTTGGAACACACTCTCTCTCTCTCTCTCTCTTTCTCTTTCTAAATAGCAAAAGTGGGGTTCATGACGGTGTTAACTACAAGGGTTGGATTCACGAGTGGTAGTGGTCACGATGATAAATGTCTATGAAGTTGGGGTGGTTGTTGGTAGTGACCGTTATGAGTGGTGAGTGTAATGGCCCTATGGCTACAGTGGGCGTGGTTAGTAGTGGTTGTAGCGATATGGTGATTGCTATGATGGAGGCAGAGTGTAGTAGTGGATGAGATGGTGGTTAGAGGTAAGGATTTGGGTCGGGCTTGCATTATATATTAAAATGTGTTATCTCAAGCCTAATTCAATCCGACATCGGACTTAATCTAACTATCCCAAGTCCAACCTTAAAAAAAATTTTAAATCTCAAGTTTGCTTACTTAACTCAATAAATATTAACTTTAAAAAAATAAAAATAAAAATAAAATTCATCTTGAATGGATATTAAATTATTTAATTTTTTTTATTTATTATTTGAATTTGGAAGGTTAACAAAATTCAATGCTAAAATAAATAAATTTTTTAACAAATGTTTTAATTTAAGCTTTAGAAATAAGCATATATTTTGTTGTCTTTTATATTTTTTTACTTTATTTTATAATTAAAATATTATAGAAAAATATTTTGTAAATGTGCATGCCAAGCTGGGCTGGGCTATAATTATTTATTCCAAACGTAGCCCAAATATTAAATGGGCGCAAAATCTCAATCCGATTTAATGGACAAAATAAATTTTTTAAATCTTAAAAATATTGGGTTGAGCTATGCGCTTGGAGATGCAGGAGGTGTTGGGATGAAATTAAGGTTTCAAATGTGAATGGATGTAAAGAGAGGATGAATTGGTAGGAATGGGCATATATTGGGAATTATCTGCAATGAGATTGAAGGTGTATTTTAAATTTGAGAAAATGGTGTAATAAGAAATTGAATGTAAGGAGATAAATCTCTAGTGTAGGTAAAATTATCCTTGATTGACGGCCAATAATGTTGTCACTTACTATTTTCTCTTTATAAACAAAATTTTTTTATATTTTTAAAAACAACATTCTTTTTGTTGTATAAATACTAATACATTTTGAAATTAAACAATAGTAATAAAAAAATTTAAGATACAAACAAAAAACAATGTATAATTAAATAAAGAGTCTTACTAACAAGTGCCCATTAGTAAAAAAAGTTGCCCACCTTTTATTAATTTCTTAACACTTTTCACTTATTTTTAATTTTTTTTTCATTTTAAAAATAATTTATACATATTTTTCAATATTAAACAATGTCTACGAGGCCCTTGTTAGTATTTATTTGCCTCATAAGTTGTGTTTGGATTTAGGATTTAAATAAAATTTTATGGAGAAAACAAAAAGCTAAGAAAAAGTAATTGGGATTGAGGCTGGCTTGTAGAGTTAAGCAAACATTCAAATAGTATTGCCAAAATATGTTCAATCTCTCTCCCATAATCCACAAAAATATGTAAACATCCCTTCAACATCTGCTTATTTAAAATATCAAAAGAGAACATCAAATCATTCAAAAATGAATCTGTACGACACACAGTAGAAAGGCTTTGTATCATAAAACATAATACCCAATTATAAAATAAAAATAATATTAAAAAAAAAATGAGACTAATGCATATTCATTTGAAGGATCAATTATCAGATCCCATATATCATCTAAATTTCCACAAGTTGTATCCGAGTTCAGTTCTACATGTATCAAGACAAAAGATAAGAGAAAATATTTCGGAATTTCAGCAGTTCATTTAAACTATACGGTATTAAATCCCAATTCCCATCTCCGGAAGCAATTTCCTACCCACCAGCCATTTTCAGATTGAAGTGGTGCAAACAGCAACTCCCGCGCAAGCCTTGGCGTTAAAATTCCCTAACCGTCTACAACCGTCTACAAATACTTGAATTCTCAATTTTACAATCTATTTATCGCCTTGTGCTTTGATTCCTCCAAAAGTTTCCACATTGCTTAAAAAGAAGTATAGGATATAGGAGAGCGTTCCCATACAATATTTAGCTGCATGGGAATCATGATTTTTTACACTGTTTTCCAAACCATGTACAAATCCATTACTTTCATAGCCACGCAATCAACATGTCCTTAAAAGTTTTGATGACCATATCCAGTGTAGCCAACCACTTTCTCCCGTTGGCTTTTGCTTGCCTTGCACTTTGGTTTCCTCAGAGGTTTCCCTTGACATTGAGCTACTTTCAGCTGTCAGAGAGCTCGATCTGCCTATGGTTTCCCTTGACATTGAGCTACTTTCAGCTGTCAGAGAGCTCGATCTGCCTATTTCTTGTGATGCTTCGACAAGCTGGTTCACCATCTCCAACACCTCGCTCATCTTTGGGCGTGCCTTTGCGTTTTTGCCCAGGCACCGGTTGGCAATGATGGCAAGCTTTTGAGCTGACTTCTTGGAACCATTCCATTCGAGCCTTGGGTCCAATATCTGCCGAAATTTCTTTGAGTCTGATAGGTGTGGCTTTACCCAATCCAAGAGTTTTTGTTCGCTCTTAGGGCGGTTGTGATCCAATGGGCGCCTACCGGTGATGAGTTCATAAAGGAAGACCCCGTAACTCCATACGTCACTCTTGGACGTCAGACGCCCAGTCTGGATGTATTCAGGAGCTGCATATCCAATCGTTCCCACAACCTGATAAAGCATTCAACTGAATTACTATAAGATCTGTTAGAGAGGAAAAAAAATTTCATTACTTAATTAAGAGAAATGCCGACATCTATAGTGATTTCAGCAGTAGCTCCATTTTACAAAGGAAATTGATGCTGGCTCCATAAGTGAATTTTTTTGGTGGTTGTACAGCAAATAAGGATTCAAGTCCCAAGTTTGACGACCATCTTCATTGCTTCTTCATCACATACACTTGTTAAGTGCCGAAAAATAAAAACAAATAAAGATAAGTAATGTATGTTTGAATGAAGGCTACGGAGCTACAAGCAACATACAAGCATTCCGGATATAAAAATTCAAGGCAATAACTAATAGTCACCTTCATATAATTTTACAATGATTAGAGATAATTTTAAGCCGTCTGCCTTTACCTTCCTAGAAATGTATTTAGGAAACTTCTAGATAACCATTGAAAATCAGATGATTTAATACAGATAACAAGAATAAGACAACATGAGAAAATATGGAAACTTGAAATCAGTGATTACAAAGGCTCCACTGAAAGTTCTTAACCACCGAATATAGCCCATCAAATGAATGCAGTTATGTTATGTAACATAGAAGATATGCACCCACACACACGCACACACCAAAAAATAAAAATAAAAATAAAATAGTAAGATGTTTAGATTGGTGATGTGATCTACAGGTCCCATTTTCTAATGATCCCATATTACCAAAAAAACCTTAAAATAGTTAGGTGTTTAAATTGGAGAATATCTAGTAGTTGGAGCAAGGTTCTGTCGAGTATAGTAGATTACGAAGTGTAATAACATCATTTTGTTTAAGCATACCGCTGTTGAGACATGCGTTAGTCCTTCTTGAGGGCCCAATCTAGCCAATCCAAAGTCAGACAGCTTTGCATTCCACTGCTCATCTAGGAGAATGTTTGAAGATTTGAAATCTCTGAAGATGATCTATGACAAATGTAACATAAAGATATCAGTTTCATGCAAGATAGTACATGTAAGAAATAATGTATAGAGAAAGAGAGAGAATAAATTGTATGTATTATTATTGATTGATATGTTGTTATATTTATTACAATGATTCATGATTCCTATATATAGAAGAGGGTGAGTGTGTAGTAGGTAAGAAGTAGGTGAAGTGGAGGTGGTAGTTGTGTAGTGGGTTAGGTTTAGTGGAGTAGGTGAGGTGGTAGTGGTGTAGTGGGTTAGGTTTAGTGGAGTAGGTTTAAGTGGGTGATAAATTTTAACAGCCCCCCGCAAACTCAAGGGGGATAGGAACTAGCCAACTTGAGTTTGGAGAGAGTTACAAAACAAGAAAATACATAAAAATAAAAGAGGATAGGTGACACTGTATGGTCATGATCTATGACAAATGTAACATAAAGATATCAGTTTCATGCAAGATAGTACATTAATGATTCACGTAATGCATTATATAATGTTATACTTTATAAGTTGCTTGCTCTTTATGGATTATAACTTTGTATCCAATAAAAAAATTGTAAAAGATGATTATGAAATTCTAGCAGCCAAAAAAAAAAACCTGAAAATCCATCCCTTCATGCAAGTAAGCTAAGCCTCGAGCGGCGTCTTGGGCTATTTTCAGTCTCATTGCCCAGGGAAGAGGTGTCCCCGACTTAGTTGATAGATGGTCCTCAACACTTTTATTAGGCATAAATTCATAAATCAGGAGCCGTTGAATTCCTCTTTCATCATCTTCAGCACAGTGACCCACTAGTTTGACAAGGTTTGGATGCTCAACCACTCCAAGAACATTCACTTCTGTTACCCATTCCTTGTGCCCCTGCCAGCCAGACAAAATGTGAGAATGAAAGTTAAACATAGAGACTAATGGCGGATTCCCTTACTTCTGAACCGTTGAAGAGTAACTTATTTAATGAAATAGTCAGGTAAATAAAATAGGATTATTAATATTAATTATTAGATAACATCTGGCCAACATCAGAAGAACAAACTCATGCAGGGTTGCAAGAGAACGATCCACAATACTAATTGTTACAACGAATAACCTAAGAGCATTGGAAAAGAGGGCGAAAAAGAAAAGTGCAGTGGCATAGAAGTTTTTGTGTCATCGCCTTGTCACATGTCAGAAACATCGTCAAGGTTTAACACTCTTTTTTTAATCAATTTCCGAACCTATGTGATGCAATGGAAAAACATGAGAGAAGAATATGTAGCAGCAAGGACATCACAACTTTTTTATAACTTTGTTGAATCTAAAGATTACCAGCAGTGTTGTCGAATCATGATACGTATCATGTATTGTTGTTCCAATTTTATGTATTGCATATCGTATCGTATCGTGTATCGTAAGATACGTTAACATATAAAATATAAGTTGAAAAAATAGTATTACAGCACAAACTATAAATATATATCACCAAAAAGAAATTTTGAAGATACAAAATTTCTAGTCTCCCTTCCAACTATATATATAACTAATAACCATAGCTAAAAAAACTGTTTTAAATAAGAAATCAAAATAATAAATATGTTGACAGTGCAAAGCTTTTCAGACTTTTGGGATTCTTTTTTAAAAGCTTTTGGGATTCTTTTTTAATAAAAAAGTAAACAAAAAATAATAATAAATGGACCAATAATAGCTGTTTTCCAGCAGCACCCAAACAACTTACATACTTGTTTGGTCAACAGACAAAGTGAGGCCAAGAAGCTATTTATAATAGCTTTGTTTCCAAACAGCCAATATATTGACCACAGCAGATAAAAAATTCTTTTACCCTCACTCTGTTCTATATCTCTTTGTCTTCGATCGACAAGAATACATTGCACGAACAGAGAAGAGCATAGAAGTGATCGACCTCATGCAACAACCAAATCGACACTCCTTTTTTCAAATTTGGTGATGGGTATTCCTAAATCAACACCAGACCAACTCTAGGAACTCAGATTTGGAGATGGGTCACTATTTTTTTCTGAAAAATCATCGTGGTTAGCATAGGGGAAGGCTGCATTTATTTCGATTCTTGTATCGGACGATATGCGAAGAATCGCGATACAAGTCGAATCAAGCGATACTATTTTCGTATCGAACGGTACAAGTTTATTTGCGATACAGTATGTGATACATGTCTTTCTCTCATCGATACAAGACATATCATACGATATTGATAACATTGATTACCAGGATAATAGGGAAATATAGGGACAATTCTCAAAGGAAATCTGTATATTATTGATCAATTGATGAGCACTAAAGCTTACAACTATTATTTACAATAGAAGAAACCCTAATCAAACTAGGAAACCACCAATCAAGGTAGTTCCTTATTTAACGCGACAATAATAAGACCAAAAATGGAAAATTTGAGTTAGGCTCAAATTTGGAACCTAGGAAGGAAAAAAAATATTTTGGAAAAATCCTAGACCAAACTGGATTCATATGGACCAGGTAATTGATGAATCAGAACTGGCAAAATCGTGAAATTGAAGGATTAAAACTTGGATTCCGCCTAAAATCCACCAAGGTTCAATGCGAAGCTTTCCATCACTACACCAAATTTCATGCATTTCCAAGCACGTGCCTATTGGGTCCTAATAGTGTCACTTGGTTTGTTTACCCCCATGTCTATCCATATGTTACAAGAACTGTATGGCCAAACACTCTACAAGGAATCTAAGTTCATCTAGTTGTTTTCTTTTCATTTGTTTTAATTACGCTTGGAAACATATATTTAGGCAGTTATTACATTTATTTATTACTCAATATGGGTTTAATTTGACTACCATGTAAGCCATTAACCTTGACTCAAAGAATCTGTTAAATAACTAGCAGTTTGCCTAGGAGAATTCTTTCGATTGACTTCGCATTTATTACTGCAAAAGTAAAAGTGGCACTAATAGCATCATATCCCTTATCTCCATCCCTTATCACCCTCTTCCATTTATGTTGCTCTGATTTTTCATTCCTTTAACCAATACTTTCTAGTTGAATCTGAAAATTCTTTGCTTGGTCAAGCAGTAAATTTTGCTCAACATTGATACCCTAAGATGGCATATTTACCACTGGGATGGATAATTTTATTTGCCATATGCTACATCTTTATTATGCACACTTTATTTTGTCTCCACTTTTGAAAGGTCAAGCCGACGCATCCCCTCTCTTTCATCGGTTAAGTTCTAGATGGGGAATGAGTTGGTCACCTATGTTTGCTACAACTGTTTGTCGGTTCTGACACTTTCTAATTAATGCAAGACACTCTATTAACTCTCTTCAATTGCAAAGTTCCAAAAAAACATTTGAACATACGTGTTTGGACGCACCTATCACTAACACTGTTAATCAATTGATAGATAAAGGCAAATAATATGACAAATTCATTCCTTATGACAGTTAAAATTTGGAAATACAAAACAATGTAGAATCTCTAGTTATGTATTTACTCCATGTTTCCTGGGTTGATGTTAAACTGGATTCTACAAAGTCATGCTAGAGACAATGCCCAGCTGCTGAATCCTAAGATTTAGGCCTTCGAACACCGACACGTAAGCAGACACTCGCACCTAAACCCTATTAAGGTCATTTGTCCACTTTGTTAACTCACACTTCTGAAAGAATCTCACAAAAACAAGTAAGATTTATTGTAATTAAACAAGCAAAATTGAAGCAGAACTGCATAAGAAACCTTGCCTGCAATCCTCTTTTTCCTAATTGTTTCACAGCGACATCAAGTTTTCTTTCTGGATCTTCAGACCTCTTGACGACACCCTTATATACGCATCCAAAGCCACCCTCTCCGAGTTTGACGGTGTGATTAAAATTCTTTGTGGCCATCTTCAGCTCTGAATATGTGAACAGTTTGAGATTACTAGACCTCTGAGACAAACTCAGAAATTGGCTCCTCCCAACAGACTCGGTGCTGGTGTCAGATACATTCTGAGAATTAAATAAAGACCCAGATCTCCTCATATCACGCTCAGTAAGCGTGGAGTTTGTGGTTAGAGTTGAATTTGAGGACTGAACCGACATTGACTTTGGGGTCTTGGGTTCTTCCTTCTTTTCTCCACTGTAGAATTGGAAACACCCCATAGCCTCCAAATAAATCACAACACCCTTACTGCAAATCGATATGTAGAATATGAGAGCCTCGAAGCATACATTGTAGAAGCAAAACAACGAATAATGTCCAAATAAGTAACCAAAACAGTGTATATTATGGGAAGTTAATAAGATAAATATGCTAAGAAAATTTATAATGTCATAATAAAATTGAGAATCACCAATAAGAATAAACTAGGGGATGAGAAATGTGAAAACTAATAGCAAATCAATGGACTGCAAGTGAGAAAACACATGTCCCGGTGCACGTGCAGATTGTGCAAATCGGTAAGAAGACATGTGTCCCAGGCACAATCTGCACTTGCACCAGGAAACATGTCTATGTCTCACTCACTTGCAGTACATTGATTTGCAATTAGTTTTCCCATTTTCTATTTATATGATATTTTCCTAATAAAATAATACTGAGAAAAATAATCTAAAAAAATTGCCAGAGCTTTTAGTAATTTATTTCAACATATAAGCATGCGAATTCTTGATTGCACAACAAAACCCAATTTTGAAGACCAATTCAACACTTACCAAAAAAAAAATTTAATTAATTAATTAAATTAAATCATCCAACAAGAATTGATAAATAAAATGATAAGTTTCCCAAAAACAGAGGATGATCCTATATAACCAGCTGAATTGAAAAACAAATTAAACAGTTCATGATCTTCAACAAACCCAATTTCCATGTAATGGGTTGTTGAGATCAAACCATAAAAACTCAAGAAAAATCAAACCAGTAAGACTCTATGTGCATGCACTGCTCAGTACCAGCTTACTTTACCAATCTAAAGTCTCCCAAATTTACCATAATCAAAAGCATACCTAAATCCAATTTTAGCATGTATACACAGCAAAAATGTATGCTCTCTCTCTCTCTCTCTCTCAAGAGACATGAAAATTGAAATTTGAAGAAAACCCACCTTGAGGTCTCTCAATCTAGTGGTAGAGATTGGTGTGAGAGGGTTGGAAACTGAAGAATCCCAATTTACAGAGGCGTTATGATAGAAGACGAAAGACAGCTAAGACATGTAAGGCTAAAAAACAAAGAACTCGATTGGAAGAAAAAACGAGGCCAGAATTACATGACCTCAAGAAAAGTCTGCACACGGCGGCTGCTGTAAATAAATAAATAATAAGAAATGAAGAAATTTATTTATTTATTTGTCACCACATTTAATTCATATTATTACATCATATTTAAAATTGATGACATCGTCATGCCATATGAAATGATACATAAGAAATGAAGAAATTTAATAATGAATTAAAGGAAAATGTTTGTAATAAAAAAAAAAAAAAAAAAAATCACAATTTTATCTATAAAGATATGTTAGAATAGGTGTCAAATTTTAATTTGTTATACACATCTAATCATTGAAAGCCGAGTTCCCTTACCACACCATTTTGGATTAAATGTGTGAGTTTTTAGCATTACTATAAATTAAAATGATAAGATTATTTTGGTTTTGGTGCAATTTATATGAATTTATTTTTTTTGGATAAATTACACTTTGCACCCCTGCACTTTATATCAAATCTCACTTTGACCTCTACACATCAAATTGTGACACTTAACCCCTACACTTTTGATCAAGTGTCACTTTGACCCTTCGTTAGCCTCATTGTTAGCAGATGTTAGTCACACGAAAAATATGTGAGGATAAATTACATTTTGCATCCCTGCACTTTACACAAAATCCAACTTTAGTCCCTACATATCAAAATTGTGACACTTAACTACTTAAAGGATAACTTCTGTTAGTCTCACTATTAACAGAAGGGCCAATGTGACACTTGACCAAAAGTGCAGGGGATTAAGCGTCACAATTTGATATGTAGGGACTATAGTAAGATTTTGTATAAAGTACATGATGCAAAGTATAATTTACCCTTTCTTTTTTTAAATATGTGTCAAACTATTTTAAATTTTTTTTATTTCTTTTACTAAATTAATTATTATTTTTTAAAGAAATTTAAAACAAATTTTTGAAAACTAAACAAACATGTTTTTTAAGTCTTTACTATTGAGGGGTTACTCACAATAAAGATTTTTATAAACTTTTTTCTTTAACTTTGTTGGACAATGAAGCTTGTTTCGGTAATGAGAAGTCACTATAAAAAAAATTAATTAATATTTTTCTTTTTTCTTTTTTTATGTATTTTTATACAAAATTAAAGAGTCAATTAAAATAATTAATCCCAAAACAACCTGAATACTTCATTTTTGTCAAAATGCATTTTCAATGGGGTCAATTACTACTTTTATTTTTACTACCTTAGAGCATCTCCAACGGTAATAGGTATTTTACATATCTAAACATTACTATAAAGTATACATTTTATTTTGCCTATCAACTGTTTCATGTTTCTGCTCCAACCATGCTCTTTATTTTAGCTATTCATCCAAATACTATTAATTTTATAAAATGCCACATCAGCAACAAAGATGGAGGGAAATAATCCTAATGATTAAATACATTTTGCCTAGCCTTGAAGGCTAGCTACATGTAGCTAGTGAATGTGAATTGAGCTAAAATGCCTAATTACATGCCTAGTGCATTGGAGTTGAAAAAAGTGAGTCATACTAGGCATTTTACCTAACAATCATTATATACCTAGTGCATTGGAGATGCTCTAAAGGCTAGCTACATGTAGCTAGTGAATTTGAGTTGAGCTAAAATGCCTAATCACATGCCTAGTGCATTGGAGTTGAAAAAAGTGAGTCATACTAGGCATTTTACCTAACAAGCATTATATGCCTAGTGCGTACACATTTTGAATGGGCTCGATTGTTTTGGACCAAGTACATGTTATGCTTTGTTTATAGAGTTCGGACCCTCTCTAGCCAAACCCTCTAGCCATTCCTCCTGTCAAGGACTAGGATTTGGCTACGTCACCAAGGCCAAAAGCTACGGCTCAGATCAAGTTTGGTTTTTTTAAAAAAAAATTGAATTTTTTTTCATTCAACACAGAGCTTCCCTCTCATTCAGCTTCCCTCCCATTCACTTTTTCCCTCCCTCTTCAAAGCTCTGGCGAATCGAAGTCGGTGGCAAACATCGACTTCATCCGCCGGTCTCCCTCTGTCTTACTCCAAACATTTCCTTTTGTCTTACTCCAAAGATTTTAGCTGTGAACTAGAGCTCCGGCGACCCCGTGAACCAAAGCCCTGATTTGCACTTCATCAAACTTACAGGCTATATTTTTGCTGTTTACTGATATATTGGAGGATTACTGTAACAATCCCAACCCATAATTAATGTTAATCCATGATTAATTATGCCGAATAAATGATTAAAGTGAAATGTTGCATCATAAGTTGCCTTATATGTGCTTATATATGTTTCATGTAGAAAGATTTGTTCATGTTTTCGTTTCGGTTTGCGAATTGAAGGCCTTGTCAGCATCCGATTCTGAAATTAACTTGATTTATGTGTTATTTGAAATTTTTAGAACATCATGGTAGGTCCAATTGAAATTCGATTCAGAACAATTAAAATTAGATAAATAATGTCAATTGATTAGCTATTAATGATGTCTTCCTAATGGAGTCTATATAAGGCCACTTTTTTTTCTTTTTTCTTTTTTCTTTTTTTTTTGGATCAGCAAATGTTAGTTGTTATTTGTTAAATTAGCACTTATGGGAGAAAATCTCCCCACCCTTAGCAAAGCACCTAAGTGCTTGCACTCCCTTAATTCAACTCCCCTAAGGAGAATTGAGCCCATGATTCCTTAGTACATTTTACACCCTCGTTACATACTCCTCATAGCTCAAAACGTAAGAGATGAAGAGAAAAGAGAAGGCTTGAGCTCAACTAGGGTGTTTGCTAGAGAATTGAGAATAATTGACTTGAACCTAGCTAGAATCTGAGTCATTAGAAGAATCACTCAAGAACTCAAAGAATCGAGACTTGTAGGAAAGGAATTCAACCCTTGAATTATGTAATTAACTCATTTAAGTTCTGAATTCAGAGGAAAATGAAAGATTAGTGCATGAACTGAGCTAAAAAAGTAGGAAATAAGAAGAGTAGAGCTTGCATGTGTATTTTATGGCAATTTTGAAGTTGATTTCAAGTAAATTCTCCATGCATGTCATGTTCTCAAATTAATTATGAAACTTCATCATGTTTTCCATCAATTTGCTTTAATTGATCAAGTTTTGGAAGCTTTGAAGTCAATAAAATGCTTGTATGTAAGTCCATGTGTTGTTTTATAAGTTTCAAGTTTAATTTTACCCAATTGACTTACTATTGGGCCTTGATTTTGTGAAAAGATCTTTAATTCTTAATGTTTTCAAAGTTTTAACTTGTTTTCTCTAGTTTTGGGGCCAAGAGTTGTGTTTTGATGAGTTAGATTCAAGTTTTAAGCTTGGGAGTGCAATATGGAGTTTCCAGATTTTGCACTTCCGCTTGAGCGGGATAATCCACACTCAAGCGACCATTTTGAGTGCGTGCATTTCCGCTCGAGCGACTAGAAGTACGTTCGAGCGTGAAATGCAAGTTCCCAGAAGTTTCATGTTTTTGCAGATCGCTCGAGCGGCCAGAGTTGCGGTCGAGCGAGGGCATTAGTCTCACGCTCGAGCGACCGTCGAGTATCCGTCGAGCGTAAAAATCACACAACCAATACTTGTCCAAAGCTCGCAGACCGCTCGAGTGAAGGAAGTTGCGCTCGAACGACCTCTCATATGTTTTTATAACTGCTCGAGTGGAGGAAGTTGTGCTCGAGCGGGGACCCCTGTTTCCAGCATTTTGACCAAGTGTTTTCAAGTGCATTTTGGCATCTTCATTGCATCTTAAGCATTTTTAGGCCAAGATTAAGACACCATAATGAGGATAAGAAGTAGAAACACACCAAGATAAGAAAGAATTAAGTTAATGTTTCCAAGTGTGTAATTTAATACGTGTTCATTTTGTAACGTGTAGGTCATGTGCCACAAGACGTCTGATTTGCCCATTCTGTCTGTTTGCCTTGAAACCATCTGTTAATTGTGAGTAATAACTCTGTAAAGCTATATTTAATTATAAGCATTTTGTGATTGATATGATACGATCTATTTTTCTGAAATGCTATTTTATTAATCATGAATGAATGTCAATTTTTTTTGAAATATATTTGTAACATCCTTAGTTTACGTGGCCCTCACCCAAAGGTAACAATACCGTGGCCAATATGCACGTGGCCCTCGCCCGGGGGTAATAATACCGTGGCTTATATTCACATGGCCCTTGCTTGGGGGTAACAATACCGAGGCATATATTCGCGTGGCTCTCGCCTGGGAGTAACAATGCCATAGCTACTTGCGCACAAGATATGGACCTTTATGGTTGTCTGTACCGACTATACATGTGGGTCTTAGGACTAAGTTGATATGATAGCTAATGGATGTACCACCTATAACTGTTATAATTTCTAGATAAGTATGTGAATTTGAATATGTTTCTGATTTGAGATTTGAATATGCATAAGAATCTTTTTCTGACATAAACTCTATTTTCTAACTCTTAGATGGATATCATTCCTTAAACTATTTACCTTGTTATTATTCACTGGCTTCCACTTACTCTATTATTTATGTATGTAGGTAACTGGGCATGTGGCTAGGCTCAGTGATGACTGCCTGGAGAGTTTCTGGTCAGCCAGCCATTGCGTCTCCCGAGGAGGTTCTATATGGTCATGATTGTGAATGTAAAGGCTTTGTTTTCTTTTGGATTATGAACAAAATTTATGTTAACTGTAGATTGGATTAAGTTCCTTTTTGGTTCTATCTATAACGAATGTGATAAAATAACGTCAGGTATATGTGTATAAAAGTCTTAAAAAAATATTTATGTCCCATATATGTTTGCACAACTCAATGGACTGTGTATGTTTCTATATTTGCTTCTGCAGCCCCTAATTATATGATATTCTGTTCAGAGGCCTTTGGTAATCTAAGGATTACTGGCCGATTACGACGCTAAACTCATAGGGGCGGGTTTAGGTCGTGACAATTACTCATAGTTCCTCCAATCTTCCATAATTCCTCAAATTTTTGTTGTTTTCATTTTTTCAAAGCTATATTTTTGCTGTTATGTTTTTGTAGTGAAGCTTCACAACAA